TAGGCTTTCGAGCCTATACAGCTTGGAGTAAGACAACATGCATGGAGAGGATGATGTGGACAAAATACTCATTTGCCTAATAATTCTGCACTCCCTGTAGAACCAAAGGTCTGTTTAATTCACAATTTTTCTTCTATTGTCAGTAATTCCCTGAAAACATAATATTGGACTTTGGCTTCCAAAGGATACATTGGTCAGTTTCTAAAAGGTCTATATGTGCAGTAGACTGCTGCTATGAATTTTAACAATAGTACCTACTCTTGTGTTGAATTGGATAAACTTTTCAAAGTTTCAAGCTACTTAACAATACTATATAAGAGTAGTATATAAATGTATATCCATGTAAAAGCGAAAACTATAAATCAACCAGTCCTTTGTTCAAGTAGGGCTGGGCCATATCATGCCGTTCACGGTAATGCCGGTATAATGTTAGGTAATGATAAGAAAATGAAATATCGTGATAGAATATGGGTAAAATGCACATGCGCAGTGCCTTTGTTTTCATACACACATGGCAGAAAAAGCATGGTGGTGACGCAGAATGAGAAGGGCAAACGCGGATCGTTGAATGAAACGGATGAACCAGAATTGGTTTGTAAAAATGTGCAACTTCAGTGGTTTGGCTTTCATCTGTCAGATACACACCAAAGCACAATTTTTGGTAGAGCACGCAAGTGGGCCTTGGTTATTAGTGTGTTTTTCGGAAAATAAGTCGCTCTTAAAATCCTTTGATTTTCTGAAAAATCAACAGTGCCCCTTATAATCCGGTGCTCCTTATGTATGAATTCTGGTTGTGCTTACTGACCTCGAACCAATTTTATGTCGTACATTTTATGTCAAAAAAGGTTTTAGTACGACTTTGTTAAGCTACAAACCCGCACCGCTTGATGGATTGTTGGAGCATTACGGCTATTGTAGTCAGGAGCCTTGCGGAGTGATACGTACTGTGCTTCAACATAATATTACCGTATTGTGTGTGTGTATAACCTCTTTTTAAGTTTTGTGGATATTATACATGGTTATGCTCAGGATATCTTGGCCAATTTCCACTGGAAATGCCTTTTGGTTAAACTGTCAGCAAGGAATTTGCATTAAAAAACAGCTGCTTGTTTAAGTGAAAATACATTGAGGGATTTATTTATTTTGTCTCGCGTCAGTTATATCGTCAGTTATATCCTTATCGCAAATTTTCAAATAGATATTGCGATGAATATTTTTGGCCATATTGCCCTGCCCTATGTCCAAGTGCAAACAGGGTTGAGAAGTTTGGTTAGTTTTACTTAAAGCTGGGCTTGACGGCAATGGACATTTAATGTGATAGGTGTCAAATTACTCTGAGCTCTAAATGTGCCTAGGGGATTTTGAGGTGAATGGTACACTGAGCATATACAACATCATGCCATGACTTAGAGTTGGA